CGAGAACGCGGTGGCGGATCTCCACCAAATTCGGGGGATCCCTTCAGCTTGAGGAGCCCTCTCGAATGCCACCCTCCGCGCGTCGGTAGCCGGACCTCGAATTTAACCATCCGGAACTCCCGAACCCTGGGGGCTATCGACGCGGGGGTGGTCTCATTCGAAAGCGGGCCTCTAGACGTACACTCGATTCGCGTTCGAGAGGGTTCCTCGAGCTGAAGGGATCCCCCGAATTTGGTTTGGATTCTCCGCGCCGTTACGGAGATATGGCCGTTCAAAGTTTCAATGGTTTTCCATAGACTAAGCTTTAAAGCGTTTCATCCAGGTCGCCAGAAGCAGACAATGGAGCGCGCTCTGCTGGACAAACTAAGTAATTACACCATTTCAAGCATTTTATCTGCATTATATGTTCAGTAAAAAAAAAAGTGAATATCGGCGGCATATTCACCGATACCGATATATCAGCGACAGGCTCATATCGGCCGATAATATCGGCACAACGATATATTGGTTGGGCTCTAGTGCAGAGCGCTTCAAATCATTGATTGTGAAAACGAAGGTTGGTTTGAAGCATTAATAAACTTTATTTATTTCAGGTAAAACAACAATAAACAACATTTACAGAAGGACATTACATCTTCCATAATAACATTACATACAGGTTTCTAACAAATAATGCAATTCCTACTCTAATATATTCTAAGTTTCGTTCATTATAAAGTGATCAGTTACACGTCTAGGTTCCAGAACTGCTTGTCAAAAGTCTGCATTATTTCAGTGCATCTTACAAAAAAGAAAAATAGATATAGGCAAGTGAAGCGAAAACACAGATTCAGTGTTCAGCACAGCGGATGCATGTTCAACCTCCACGCCTGTTTCCCAACGAGAATATACGGATATGAACCAGTCAAGGGGGCGTTCGTGAGCCTTAACGCTGAATATATACTGTATATACAGCCTAGTATATAACAAAGATTACAAAAAGAGTAAATATTCACAGATGAATTGAGAATAACATGGTATTGACAGCACATTCCATAGCAGAGCAAACTGGGAATCTAAAGCTGTTCCCTTTTCATGGTATATTTACATTTATATATCGATTTTATAACTATGGAAGCCCCTTTCTGCCACTGAATTAAAAAATGTAAAAACGGTAAGTGCGACTTTGTATCTCGCATATAAACTCACAATTGTGAGAAAAAAGTAAAAATTGCGAGATATAAATTTGCACTTTGAGTCGCAATTCTCAAGTCAGAATTGCAAGATATTAACTCGCAATTGCGAGAAAAAAGCCAGAATTGCGAGATTTAAACTCACTAAACTCGATAAACTTGCAATTCTGAGAAATAAAGTTGCAATTCTAAGAAAAAGTCCGAATTGCTAGATATAAACTCGCAATTGCATGATCAAAAGTCATAATTGCGATATATAAACACACAATTGTAAGAAAATTGTGTCTGTCTTTTTTCCTCAGAAATGGACGTTATAACTCACGTTTGTTTATATCTCACAATTTTGAAAAAAGTCGGAACTGCGAGGAAAAAAAAGTCAGAATTGCAAGTTTATATCTCGCAATTCTGACTTTATAACTCGTAATTTTAAGTTTATATCATGCAATTCTGAGAGAGAAAAAAGTCAGAATTGTGAGATAAAAAGTCGCAATTACCTCGTTTTATTTTTTAATTCAGTGGCAGAAATGAGCTTCCATAAATAACCAACTTTGAAGTAAGCGCCAATGATTATGCAAACATGATGTCTCTTCTTTTTTGTGTGTTCGTCACAGTGCTAAATGTGCAATAATCATTTATTATTACTTTTCTCCATCCCTTTTTCTTGCAAAAAAGGAGACTCTAGACACCTTAAAGTGGTGATAAAATACAGCATGCCACATGTAAATCTGCGACCGCCACAAAGACAGGAGGAGCTCTTACATATTTCAAGCATGTTGCATGAAAATAATTATTGGGCTCCTAATACTGGCTGGAATCCTTTAATGCCGCAGCAGGTTTGGAGGCATTAATGCGGCTCCGTCACGTTTCGACAGAATCACAGCTCTCTTCATAATCGCAACATTAAAAAAGTCTCTTCATTTCTGAGAATATGTGAGTATAAACTAGTTAGTTTGAATAAAGGCCACGTTCACACTGCAGATTAATACGGGTGTCACTCCTCTTCACATGCACTGCAATACAATCTGTTGCTTACTCTGTATTTTTGTTTTCCAGTATAGTACAAGAAGCAAAATTTAAAAGATATTAAGTCTTGTTTTCTGAAAAATTAGTCATAAGTTTATACTCAAAACAAGAAAAAGATTATGGAAGCTTGTTTCCACAGATAACAATTTTGTCAATTCTGATAAAAAAAAAAATTAAGTCAAAATTGTGAGATATACTCAGAATTGCCAGATAGAAACTCGGAATTCTGACTTTCTCACAGTTCTGACTTTTATATTTCAATTTATATTTCTAATATATACTATCATAGTTAATAACTCTCAATTCTGAGTTTATATCTCGCAATTGACATTTTCTCAGAATTGCGAGAAAAACAGAAGTGTGAGATAAAA